ACATAAGTTATTTATGACCATATTTCATACTTAATAACTGTTGCAGCCTCCCCATGGTCACATGATCAATATTCGGACGCTTGTCAACGGATTCATATTTATAACGGTCGCAGTGTCCTGGGGTCACGTGATCCCTTTTTGTGACCTTCTGACAAGCAAAGTCAAGGGGAGGAAGCCAGATTCACTTCACAACTGTGTTCCTGACTTAACAACTGCAGTGATTCACTTAACAATCGAGGCAGGAAAGATCGTAGAACAGGGCAAAACTCACTTAGCCTATGTCTCGCTTAGCAACAGAAACTTCGGGCTCCCTCGTGGTCGTACGTCGAGAACTGCCTGTACTTTATGCACAAAAAAATGGAAGGGTACTTTGATTCCCACAAGGGATGAATGGTTTCAAAAGTTCGCAAATTGACTGGATTAAAGAAAAGAACACAATTTTGTTTCCACTCGGAAACCGCTTCTGGACTTTATGCTTGAGGTCGGGGGGGGGGGAATGAAACTTTGATTTTGGGTTTTGCTGATTAGCTAGGTCAGGGGACTTCAAACCTGGCCCTTTTATGACTGGTGGACTTCAACTCCCAGAATTCCTCAGCCAGTCATAAAAGGGCCAAGTTTGAAGACCCCTGATATAGAGTTTAAGAGGAGTGGACTTCAACTCCCAGAATCCCTCAGCCAGGCACGCTGGCTGAGGCATTCTGGAAGTCCACCAGTCATAAAAGGGCCAAGTTTGAAGACCCCTGATATAGACTTTAAGAGGAGTGGACTTCAACTCCCAGAATTCCTCAGCCAGGCACGCTGGCTGAGGCATTCTGGGAAGTCCACCAGTCATAAAAGGGCCAAGTTTGAAGACCCCTGATATAGACTTTAAGAGGAGTGGACTTCAACTCCCAGAATCCCTCAGCCAGGCATGCTGGCTGAGGCATTCTGGAAGTCCACCAGTCATAAAAGGGCCAAGTTTGAAGACCCCTGATATAGACTTTAAGAGGAGTGGACTTCAACTCCCAGAATCCCTCAGCCAGGCACGCTGGCTGAGGCATTCTGGAAGTCCACCAGTCATAAAAGGGCCAAGTTTGAAGACCCCTGATATAGACTTTAAGAGGAGTGGACTTCAACTCCCAGAATTCCTCAGCCAGGCACACTAGCTGAAAGCATTCTGGGAGTTGAAGTCCACAAATCATAAAAGGGTCAAGTTTGAAGACCCCTGATATAGAGTTTAAGAGGAGTGGACTTCAACTCCCAGAATCCCTCAGCCAGGCACGCTGGCTGAGGCATTCTGGGAGTTGAAGTCGACCAGTCATAAAAGGGCCAAGTTTGAAGACCCCTAATATAGACTTTAAGAGGAGTGGACTTCAACTCCCAGAATCCCTCAGCCAGGCACGCTGGCTGAGGCATTCTGGGAGTTGAAGTCCACCAGTCACAAAAGGGCCAAGTTTGAAGACCCCTGAGCTAGGATGTGGTTACAGAAATGCTAGCATGGAGGGTAGTTCTCGACTTACGACAGTTCATTTAGTGAGTGTTCAAAGTTACAGCGGCACTGGAAAAAAGGACTTAACGACCATGCTTCCCACTTACGACCGTTGCAGCATCCCCATATCAGGTGATCAAAATTCAGATGCTTGGCGACTGATTCCTGTTTATGATTGTTGTGATTCCCTTTTGCGACCTTTTGACAAGCAAAGTCAGTGGGTGGAAAGCCAGATTCACTTAACTTAAGTGTGACTGAATAACTGCAATTTTTGCTGAAACCACTGTGGCCAAAAAAGTCGTAAAATGGGGCAAAACTCACTTAACAAAGCTCTCACTTCAGCACAGCAATTTTGGGCTCCATTGTGGCCGTCAGCCAAGGACTATTCCTTTTTTTTTTTTGTAAATATATTTTATTGGTTTTATAATTTTAACAAAAAGTGTTTGAGACACACCGTGGTGTTTGGGTAAACAAAGATTCCAACATAAAATCACAGAATAACAGCTCAACTTAATACATTTGCTATCATCTCTCTATTTCCCTCAAATAACATAGTAAATGTAATATATTTCATTTCTATCCTAAATTTCTATTACTACTAAACCTGTTTATTAAAAGTTTATCAATTTCAATTACCATAATCAAATAATGTTTTACATCAACGTATTACCCCTTTAAATATCTCTTGCAAATATATTCAAGTTCTTCACCACAGCAGTTTTGGGTTCTATTGTGGCCGTCAGCCAAGGACTATTCCTGTATTCTTCCATCAAAGTAAAAACTTGAGGTTGTGTGGTAGAATCTTGTTCTCCTGTCCCCCAAAGCAGTCGGGGGTCACTGCTTTTCTTTTCCTCTTCCCTTTTTTCCTCCCGTGTTTTCCCCGTATTTTCATTTTTCTTTGTTATTTTTAGATCGAATCATAAAATGGGAACCCCAAGAGAACCAGCTTCAGTTAATGCTTGCAGGTCCTCTGCAGGCAGAGATGCTAGTGGGAACACTTGCTGAATTTTTTATATATATTTCTCTACTCAGGCAGAATGCCGGAATTTTATCAAAGTGCTGCTTCTTCGCAACGACAACGTGCTCTTTGTGTGCGGGACGAATGCCTTCAACCCCGTTTGCTCCGATTACAGTGTGAGTATCTGATCCCGTTCTCTGAGCTTCCTCCGCCTGACTTCCCGACTTGAAAGAACAATCAATCAATCAATCAGAATAGAGCTGGAAGGGACCTTGGAGGTCTTCTAGTCCAACCTCTTGCTCAAGCAGGAGACCCTAAACCAGGGGTCCTCAAACTTGACCACTTGAAGACTTGTGGACTTCAACTCCCAGAATTCCCCAGCCAGCATGGCTGGCTGGGGAATTCTGGAAGTTGAAGTCCACAAGTCTTCAAGTGGCCAGATTTGAGGACCCCTGCTCTAAACCATTTCAGACAAGTGGTTGTCCAATCTCTTCTTAAGCGCTTCCACTGATAGGGCACCCACAACTTCTGGAGGCAGGCTGTTCCACTGGTTAATCGTTCTCTCACTGGTTAATTCGTCTCTGAAAGTTCCTGACATTGAGAACAATTAACCAGTAGAACAACTTGCCTCCAGAAACGGTGAACGCTCCAACACTGGAAGTTTCTAAGAAGAGACTGGACAGCCATTTGTCTGAAATGGTATAGGGTTTCCTGCCTGAGCAGGGGGTCGGACTAGATGACCTCCAAGGTCCCTTCCAACTTTATTATTATTATTTTTAATTATTATTGTTAATTATTATTATTGTTGTTGTTATTATCATCATCCTCATCATCATCCAAAGTGCCTGAAGGCAGGACAAGAAGCAACGGATGGAAACTAATCAAGGAGAGAAGCAACCTAGAACTATGGAGAAACTTCCTGACAGTGAGAACAATTAACCAGTGGAACAACCTGCCTCCAGAAGCGGTGAATGCTCCAACACTGGAAGTTTCTAAGAAGAGACTGGACAGCCATTTGTCTGAAAGGGTATAGGATCTCCTGCTTGAGCAGGGGGTGGGACTAGAAGACCTCCAAGGTCCCTTCCAGTTCTATTCTGATTGATTGATTGATTGATTATTCTCACCATTAGGAACTTTTTTCCTTAATTTGAGGTTGCTTCTCTCCTTGATCAGTTTGCATCCATTGTTTCTTGTCCTGCCTTCTGGTGCTTTGGAGAATAGCTTGATTACCTCTTCTTTGGGGCAGCCCTTCAAATACTGGAAGATTGCTATCATGTCACCCCTAGTCCTTCAATCAATCAATCAATCAATCAATCAAAATATGAGCCAGCAGTGTGCTGCAGCTGCCAAAAAGGCCAACACAGTACTAGGCTGCATTAACAAAGGGATAGAATCAAGATCACGTGAAGTATTAATACCACTTTACAATGCCTTGGTAAGGCCACACTTGGAATATGGCATCCAGTTTTGGTCACCACGATGTAAAAAAGATGTTGAGACTCTAGAAAGAGTACAGAGAAGAGCAACAAAGATGATCAGGGGACTGGAGGCTAAAACATATAAGGAACGGTTGCTGGAATTGGGTATGTCTAGTTTAACGAAGAGAAGGACAAGGGGGGACATGATAACCATGTTCCAATATCTCAGGGGCTGCATAAAGAAGAGGGAGTCAAGCTATTCTCCAAAGCACCTGAGGGCAGGACAAGAAGCAACGGGTGGAAACTAACCAAGGAGAGAAGCAACCTGGAACTAAGGAGAAACTTCCTGACAGTGAGAACAATTAACCAGTGGAACCACCTGCCTCCAGAAGCGGTGAATGCTCCAACACTGGAAGTTTTTGAGAAGAGACTGGACAGCCATTTGTCTGAAATGGTATAGGGTTTCCTGCCTGAGCAGGGGGTTGGACTAGATGACCTCCAAGGTCCCTTCCAACTTTACTACTATTACTAACAAATCAATCAGAATAGAGCTGGAAGGGATGTTGGAGGTCTTCTAGTGCAACCTCTTCCTCAAGCAGGGGACCCTAAACCAGGGGTCCTCAAGATAAGATAAGATAAGATAAGACAAGATAAGATAAGATGCTTGAAAACTTGTGGACTTCAACTCCCAGAATTCCCCAGCCAGCATGGGGGCACCCTAGCCAGGGGTGTCTACACAACATGGTACAAATAATCAGGATGTCAGCTACCGTGTTGTGGTGCATATTAAAACAAACAAACAAACAGCTGTTCACTGTGGCCACCATCTTGACTTTTTTGACCCAGCCTTGCCTCCAGACGTTGTGAGTCCACCTTTCGGAGGTTTGTAAGTCTTGTATGCCAGAGCTAAGCCAGTTCCGCCTCTCTCATGGATTGGGATTCTCTATCAGCGTGCCTGGCTGAGGAATTCTGGGAGCTGAAGTCCACAAGTCATAAAAGGGCCTCGTTTGAAGACCCCTTGTTCTAACCCATTCTCCTCCCCACAGATGGACTATCTAGAACCGATGGGGGACAACATCAGTGGCATGGCCCGCTGCCCTTACGACCCCAAGCACGCCAACGTTGCCCTTTTTACAGGTCAGTGTGGTGGGAAGGAGGCACTGCTGGGTTTGGGAAGTTTTTTTTCCGTTGCTTATGGTTTTTTTCCCTACCCCCACCTCTCTCCAAAAGATCTCCAAGTGGTGCACGTTCCCCCAGGAAATCCAAAGAAGTCTTCCCAAAATGGCTTTTGGGAACGCTGGTGGATATTTTTTTTATGTCTGCCTTCTAATAACACTGGCTAGGTTGGAAAGGATTTCCCCAAATTCCTCATTTGACTCTTTGATGACCCCAAACTACTACTACTCCTCCTCCTCTTCCTCTCCACAAACCTCACTCCCTTCTAAATGATGTTACGTAGTTGGGTCATGAAACGTCTGCAAGAAAACAAGCAAGCTCAGAGAGCGTCAAGGACCCCACAGTCTTTCTTCTTCTCCTCCTCCTCCTCCTCTCTGCAAACCCACTCCCTTCTAGCACTGATGCTGTTCCCTAGTTGGGTCATAAAACGTCTGCAAGGAAACCACCAAGCTCAGAGAGCACGAAAGATCCAATAGTCCTTCCTTCCTTCCTTCCTTCCTTCCTTCCTTCCTTCCTTCCTTCCTTCCTTCCTTCCTTCCTTCCTTCCTCCTCTCCATAAATTCCACTCCCTTCTAGCACTGATGCTGTTCCCTAGTTGGGTTATAAAACGTCTGCAAGGAAACCACCAAGCTCAGAGAGCACCAAAGATCCAATAGTCCTTCCTTCCTTCCTTCCTTCCTTCCTTCCTTCCTTCCTTCCTTCCTTCCTTCCTTCCTTCCTTCCTCCCTCCCTCCCTCCCTCCCTCCCTCCCTCCCTCCCTCCCTTCCTTCCTCCTCTCCATAAATTCCACTCCCTTCTACCACTGATGCTGTTCTCTAGTTGAGTCATAAAATGTCTGCAAGGAAACCACCCAACTCAGAGAGCACCAAAGATCCAATAGTCCTTCCTCCCTCCCTCCCTCCCTCCCTCCCTCCCTCCTTTCCTTCCTCCTCTGCATAAATTCCACTCCCTTCTAGCACTGATGCTGTTCTCTAGTTGGGTCATAAAATGTCTGCAAGGAAACCACCCAGCTCAGAGAGCACCAAAGATCCAATAGTCCTTCCTTCCTTCCTCCCTCCCTCCCTCCCTGCCTCCCTCCCTCCCTCCCTCCCTCCCTCCTTCCTTCCCTCCCTCCCTCCCTCCTTCCTTCCCTCCCTCCCTCCCTCCCTCCCTCCCTTCCTTCCTCCTCTGCATAAATTCCACTCCCTTCTAGCACTGATGCTGTTCTCTAGTTGGGTCATAAAATGTCTGCAAGGAAACCACCCAGCTCAGAGAGCACCAAAGATCCAATAGTCCTTCCTTCCTTCTTCCTTCCCTCCTCCCTCCCTCCCTCCTCCCTCCCTCCTCCTTCCTTCCCTCCCTCCCTCCATCCCTTGATTCCTCCTCTCATAAATTCCAGTCCCTTTACCATGATTCTTTTCTCTAGTTGGGTCATAAAATGTCTGCAAGGAAACCACCCAGCTCAGAGAGCACCAAAGATCCAATAGTCCTTCCTTCCTTCCTCCCTCCCTCCCTCCCTGCCTCCCTCCCTCCCTCCCTCCCTCCCTCCTTCCTTCCCTCCCTCCCTCCCTCCTTCCTTCCCTCCCTCCCTCCCTCCCTCCCTCCCTTCCTTCCTCCTCTGCATAAATTCCACTCCCTTCTAGCACTGATGCTGTTCTCTAGTTGGGTCATAAAATGTCTGCAAGGAAACCACCCAGCTCAGAGAGCACCAAAGATCCAATAGTCCTTCCTTCCTTCCTTCCTTCCTTCCTTCCTTCCTTCCTTCCTTCCTTCCTTCCTTCCTTCCTTCCTTCCTTCCTTCCTTCCTTCCTCCTCTCCATAAATTCCACTCCCTTCTAGCACTGATGCTGTTCCCTAGTTGGGTTATAAAACGTCTGCAAGGAAACCACCAAGCTCAGAGAGCACCAAGATCCAATAGTCCTTCTCCTTCCTCCCTCCCTCCCTCCCTCCCTCCCTCCCTCCCTCCCTTCCTCCCTCCTCTGCATAAATTCCACTCCCTTCTAGCACTGATGCTGTTCCCTAGTTGGGTCATAAAACGTCTGCAAGGAAACCACCAAGCTCAGAGAGCACCAAAGATCCAATAGTCCTTCCCTACTTCCTTCCTTCCTTCCTTCCTTCCTTCCTTCCTTCCTTCCTTCCTCCCTCCCTCCCTCCCTCCCTCCCTTCCTTCCTCCTCTCCATAAATTCCACTCCCTTCTAGCATTGATGCTGTTCCCTAGTTGGGTCATAAAACGTCTGCAAGGAAACCACCAGCTCAGAGAGCACCAAGGACCCCACAGTTCAATCCTGAGCCACAGATATTCTCTCCCGATGCTTTTCCATTTTTGGCTATCATAACTTCTTCAGCAGCTTTCTTTTAATTTCTCTCTCGTCTGGGTAGGTGGCATGCTGTTCACCGCCACGGTGACCGACTTCCTGGCCATTGACGCCGTCATTTACCGCAGCCTCGGAGACAGCCCGACCCTGCGCACGGTTAAGCACGACTCCAAGTGGTTTAAAGGTAGGGAACGGGGCGTGCGTGTGTGTGCGTGCGTGCGTGTGTGTTCAAATGGTTTTGTCTTTGTAGTGTCTGAAAACGAGAGGCAGAATCTCTTTCTAAGAGTTTCGTCCTGTAATTGACATCCCTTGGATAACTTTGACTTATTCGGATGCATTTTAGCCACGGCCTTTGGGACATGAAAAAAAAAAAAAAAGCGGGAAACCGGTAGTCCTTGACTTAACGACTGCAATGGAGACTGCTCAGGGCGGTCGTTAAATTGCGACGGTCATAAAGCAGGTTGTCCGTGTGTCCGATTCAATTTTGCAATGTTGTTTGCAGTGATCAAGGAAGGAAGGAAGGAAGGAAGGAAGGAAGGAAGGAAGGAAGGAAGGAAGGAAGGGCAAAGGGGAGGGTGGGAATCATAGCCAAGGGTTAGAGTTAGGGTTAGGGTTGAAGGGGGGTGAATCCCATCTGCAAAAGGGCAGCACCAGTTTGATTTCCCTTCATCCAAATTTCTAGTCCTTAAGATTTTTTAATTGAGAAACAGAAATGTTGGATCCTGAACAAGTACGTTGCAGAAAGAGAGAAAGGGAGGGAGGGAGGGAGGGAGGGAGGGAGGGAGGAAGGAAGGAAGGAAGGAAGGAAGGAAGGAAGGAAGGAAGGAAGGAAGGAAGGAAGGAATTCCCTGACCATGAGAACAATTAACCAGTGGAACCTCCTGCCTCCAGAAGTTGTGGGTGCTTCATGATGGGAGGTTTTCAATTAGAGAACTGGACAGCCATTTGACTGAAATGGTGTAGGGCAGACATGTCAAACTTGCGACGTCACGTGACGTCGTGCAACATATCGGAACTTTTTCACCATTGTCGGCAATGGGGTGGGCGCGGCTCCAGTATGATGAAACCAGCCCGCGGGCTGGCAGTTTGACACCCCTGGTGTAGGGTCTCCTGCCTGAGCAGGGGGTTGGACTAGAAGACCTCCAAGGTCCCTTCCAGAGCTCTTATTCTGTTATCCAATGTCTCTGGAAGGCTTCAGGTTCATAATAACCCTCAGTAATCAGGGCAGCTGGCAAACTCCTCAGCCACAAAAATCAAAAAGCTTTCCGAACAAAGTGAATTTACCGATAGAGGGGTGTTAAAGTGCCTTAAATTTGAGCAGAGAATTATTTCAGCTGATTGATTCCCGCGCCACACCTTCGTGAAGAGTTCTCAAACCAGTTAAAGGAATGAAATACACCACACCAGGACTGCAAAATAAAATGGCATGTAAACTAAACCGGGGGAAAGATAATCATTCTAAAACTTTACGAGCCCGATTTCAGATGCCGGAATGAATAAAAAGATGAGGGGTTTTTTTTAACTGTCTTAAGTTTAAAAAAAATAATAATAATCTTGAGTTTTGCTCTCAATTGCGATATTTATGCTCGCAAAACAGAATGGGAGCATCCTTGAAAAGGCAAGATATGTTTTGATTAGAAAACGGTAAAAAAAAACATCTTAAAACCAGAGGCAAAAAAATACAGGGGCAATATTTAAAGCCAAATTAATATTTTATTAATTTATTCCCAGTCTTAATAGCATTCAGTAAATATGTATGTGCAAAGCTAATGGTAGCCTTAGCTAATATTCCTTCCAGTCAGTTGATTAAAAGATTCTGGAATAATTTGAAAGGTTGCGTGTTTGTGCACATTTGTGTGCATCGGTATGTTTAAAATTATAAAACTGATAAAATAAAAGAAATCTCAGGGACAAATGATAGAGGCTGGGAGTCATGATGAAAAGAAATAGAATAGAATAGAATAGAATAGAATAGAATAGAATAGAATAGAATAGAATAGAATAGAATAGAATAGAATAGAATAAGAATTACAGAATAGAATAGAATAGAACAGAATAAGAATTGGAATAGAATAGAATAGAATAGAATAGAATAGAATAGAATAGAATAGAATAGAATAGAATAGAATAGAATAGAATAGAATTACAGAATAGAATAAGAATTAGAGAATAGAATAGAATAGAAAAGAATTGGAATAGAATAGAATAAGAATTGGAATAGAATAGAATAAGAATTGGAATGGAATAGAATAGAATAGAATAGAATAGAATAGAATAGAATAGAATAGAATAGAATAGAATAGAATAGAATAGAATAGAAAGGGACCTTGGAGATCTTCTAGTCCTACCCCCTGCTTAAGCAGGAGATCCTATCCCATTTCAGACAAGTGGCTGTGCAGTCTCTTCTTAAAAACCTCCAGTGATAGAGCACCCACAACTTCTGGAGGCAGGCTGTTCCACTGGTTAATTGTCCTTGCTATTGGGAAGTTTGTCCTTAGTTCTAGGTTGCTTCTCTCCTTGATTAGTTTCCATCCATCTTGTCCTCCCTTCAGGGGCTTTGGAGAATAGCTTGACTCCCTCTTCTTCTTTGTGGCAGCCCCTCAAACACTGGAAGACTGCTGTCATGTTCCCCCCCCCCCAGTCCTTCTTTTCTCTAGACTAGCCATACCCAAATCCTGCAACTGTCCATCATACATTTTAGGCTCCAGGCCTTGAATCATCTAGGTGTTTCTTCTCTGCACTTTTTCCAAAGTCCATCTGCCTTATCGAATTTTCCCAGCTTCCTTTTCTTCGTAGCAGACCTAAAACCAGGGGCTGTTCGCTCCGATTTATTTAGGAGATAAACAGCATCTGAACTTAATCTCAGCCGCAGGAATTGCTAACTGGTTTTTTTTTTTTTTTTGCAAGATCCTCCGTAAACGGGCGCGCTGCATTCGCAAAGCGGACGACTCCCGCATGCCCACATGCGTGCATGCCGTCCCTGCACAATTGGGTACATTCATGTGCTAATTGATGCCCTCAGTCACCGGCTCCCGTCCTATCAATTAAGATTATTATTTTGTTTTGCCTTTGCCGTAATATGCGAGGAAAAAGACCTTGGAAATCTTGTGAAGCTCTGGCTGGGGATGAGTCAGCTGGATGATGTGGCTGGAAAAAAAAAGGAAAAAGAAAGAAAGCAATATTTGGCTTGGCGTCGGAAGACGTTTTTAACCGGGGGGGGGGGAGTCATGTTTTCGTGCTGATGAGACCCTGTGGATCATGTCTTGTTCGTGAAAATCGGAGTCAAGAAACAGGAGGATGATCAAGAGAGCAAACGTGAGGTCCCAAGAAAGATTTGGGAACGTTTAGGCTACGGAGGGAAACCTTCCAAACCCCCCCCCCCAAATCTGTTACTCCAGAATGTAGGATATGGAATCACAGAGTTGAAAGATAGACTCAAGATCCAGAGGGGTCGTGACAGGCTTCAGCATTGGGCCCTATCCACTGAGATGCGGTTCAGTGGTGAGGAAAGTAACAGACTAACAGAACGATGGAGTTGGAAGGGACCTTGGAGGTCTTCTAGTCCAGCCCCCTGCTTAAGCAGGAGATCCCATCTCATTTCAGAGTGGTGGCTGTCCAGTCTCTTCTTAAAAACTTCCAGTGTTGGAGCATTCACCGCTTCTGGAGGCAGGTGGTTCCACTAGTTCATTGTTCTCACTGTCAGGAAAATTCTCTTTAATTCCAGGTTGCTTCTCTCCTTGGTCAGTTTCCATCCATTGCTTCTTCTTCTGCCTTCAGGCGCTTTGGAGAATAGGTATAACCCCCCCCCCCTTCTTCTTTGTGGCAGCTGCTCAGATACTGGAAGACTGCTATCATGTCACCCCTGGTTCTTCTTTTTATTAAACTAGACATCCCCAATTCCAGCAACCGTTCCTTATATGTTTTAGCCTCCAGTCCCCTGATACTCTTTGTTGCTCTTCTTTGTACTCTGTGGTTCTCAACCTTTTTAATGCCGCGACCCCCAACCGGTCGTAAGACGAGGACTACTCAACCGGTCGTAAGTCGAGGACTACTCAACTGGTGCAGCACGGTTTGCAGAATGGGACTTTTGGCGGGCTCAGCAGGGCAGAGACAGCCTGGACAATTCCTACTGGCTTTTGAAAGCCAATAGAATTAGACTCTATTCAAGAGAGTCTATTCTATTGGCTTTCAAAAGCCAATAGAATAAAAGGGAGTAGCACAGCTAAGGAAAAGGGGGAAAAAATGGCGGACTGCGTTGTTTAGCAACCCCCATGAAATGGTCGTTCGACCCCAAATGGGGTCCCGACCCACAGGTTGAGAACCACTGTTCTAGAGTCTCAACATCTTTTTTACATCTTGGTAACCAAACTAGATGCAGTAGTATTTCAAAGATGGCCTTACCCAGGCATTATGAAGTGGTACTAACCCTTCAAGTGAACTTGATTAAGTGCGGGAAAAGGCAGGAAAAAAACAAGATCTGTTGATATACAATAAGTGGTACCTGGCTCAACCATAGTAACTAGGATCTAGAGCAGGGGTGGGCAACCTTGGCTCTTTTATGACTCGTGGACTTCAACTCCCAGAATTCCTGAGCCAGCCACGCTGAGGGGAAAAGAAGAGGTTTCCAAGCTGAGCCATGCTGGCTCTGGAATTCTGGGAGTTGAAGTCCACGAGTCATAAAGCGGCCTAGGCCTAGACCAGAAGTAGGCAGTCTTGGCTCTTTTACGACTCGTGGACTTCAACTCCCAGAATTCCTGAGCCAGCCATACTGAGGGGAAAGAGAGAGGTTTCCAAGCTGAGCCATGCTGGTTGAGGAATTCTGGGAGTTGAAGTCCACGAGTCATAAAAGAGCCATGGTTGCCTACCCCTAATATAGAGGGATCTAGGAGTCCTAGTGGACAGTCACTTAAGTATGAGCCAGCAGTGTGCTGCAGCTGCCAAAAAAAGCCAATACAATCCTAAGCTGCGTCTACAGAGGAACAGTATCCTATTCTATATCATAGCAAGTGATAATACTATTCTATATTGTACCACTGAGGCCACGTTTGGAAGACTTGAATCCAGGTCCGGTCACCGCAATATAAAAAAGATGCTGAGAAAGAGTGCAGAGAAGAGCAACAAAGATGATCAGGGGACTGGAAGTTAAAACATACGAAGAACAGTTGCTGGAATTGGATCTATCGAATTTAATGAAGAGAAGGACGAGGGGTGACAGGATAGCAGTGTTCTAATATTTAAGGGGCTGCCACCAAGAGGGGGTCAACTTATTTTCCAAAGCCCCTGAAGGCAGGACAAGAAGCAACGAATGGAAACTAATCAAGGAGAGAAGCAACCTAGAACTAAGGAGAAACTTCCTAGCAGTGAGAACAATTAATCAGTGGAACAATCTGCCTCCAGAAGTTGTGAATGTTCCAACATTGGAAGTTTTTAAGAAGAGATTGGACAGCCATTTGCCTGAAATGGTATAGGGTTTCCTGCCTGGACTAGATGTCCTCTAAGGTCCCTTCCAACATTATTGTTGTTGTTGTTGTTGTTATTGTTCATTGCACAGTCAGCCAGACTGGATTTGGCATTTTGTCTACCTATCGAGTCCTTACCCAGGACCTGGGATAGGCAGATGTGGATGTTTGATGGTATTACAGATCTCGTCGCAGGATGGAAGCAGTTCCTAGTAAGGCCGCCTTTTGCAATTGAATAATGGTGAATTTGTCAATGCCAATGATGGTGTTCAATTGGTGCTCCAGTTGTTTTGGGATTGCACCCAAGGCGCCTATGGGGACCCAGATTGTTGGGGGCAATGTAAATATATATATACATTGCTTACTGGTGTACACCGCTTAGAGAGTGCTTGCACTTAAAGCGGTATATAAGTCTCATAAATAAATAAATAAATAAATAAATAAATTGGTACTACCCTTGCTTGCCTTTGCCACAGTCTTTCTATTTCTATTTGTATTTTGTTATCTTCTCCAGTTCTTTCTCGTCTATTCTGCTGTCTCCAGGCACTGCCACGTCCACTTTCCAGACTTTTTTGTCTTTCTTATCGACAATTGTTAAGTCTGGGGTGTTATGTTGCAGATGCTTGTCTGTTTGAATTCTGAAGTCCCAGAGCAGTTTAATTTTAGCATTTTCTATGACTTTATTTGAAGATCCCACCAGTTCTTGCTTACAGGCAAATGATATTTCTTGCAGATCTTCCAATGCACCATTGTTGCTACTTTGTCATGCCGCTGCTTGTAGTCAGTCTGTGCAATCTTCTTGCAGCAGCTTACCAGGTGGTCCACTCTTTCTTCAGCTTCTTTGCATAGGCGGCACTTACTGTCTGTTGCTGTCTTCTCAATTTTGACTTTGTATGTATTTGTCTTTAAGGCTTGGTCTTGTGCAGCCAGAATTAGTCCCTCGGTCTCTTTCTTCAATTTTCCTGCTCTTAGCCATTGTCAGGTTATTATCTGGTTTCCCAGTTATTTTTTTTTTTTTTAATGTACTGGCCATGTAGTGCTTTGTCTTCCCATGCCTCTATTCTGTTCTTCATTTGGTCTTTCTTGTAGGCCAGTTTGGTCTCTCCAGTAGTCAGTAAGCCTTCCTGATATACTAATTTCAGTTGTTGTTGTTGTTGTTGTTGTTATTGGACAACCACTTGTCTTGAGATTAAATTGTACAATGAATGGTTAAGGGAACTAGATATGTTTAGCCTAACGAAGAGAAGGCTTAAGGGAGACATGATGGCTGTCTTCCAGAACTTGAGGGTTCTCACAGAGAAGAGGGGGTGACTTATTCTCCAAAGCACCTGAGGGCAGGACAAGAAGCCATGGGTGGAACCTCCTTAAAGAGAGACCCAACCTACAGCTAAAGGGAAATTTCCTGACAGTGAGAACAATTAACCAGTGGAACTCCTTGCCTCCAGAAGGTGTGAATGCTCCATCAGTGGAGGGTTTCAAGAAAAGATTGGGCAATTATTTGTCTAGGGTGATATAAGGACTCCTTCCCTGGGCAGGGGGTGAACTAGAAGACCTCAAAGGTCCCTTCCAGGTCTAGGATTCTATTCTATGACTTGAGTTACAAGAAGGCAGATATTGCTTGAACGATAAGGAAAAAAAACCTGTTTTCATAGGAGACCTCATGTTGTTTAGCAAGGCACATCTTCTTTCCTGGATGTCTTCAAGAAGAGGTTGCTCAGTGGTCCACTGGGAAGGCTTCAGAGATTCCTGCCCTGAGCAGGGGATGGATTGGATGCCCTCAAGAAAACCCTTTCTGTGGAAAACAAAAATATTGGCTATTGTTTTTTTTTAAATGCACGGTTTAGGCCCAGGTGAAGTAAATCAGGCCTCATGGACAACATGTTGAGCCAAAGTCGGCGCTGTGCTTAATTTTGCAGTTGAGCCATTGTGCTTTACTTAATACGATTTTGCTAAGTTTGCTTGTTTCAAATATATTTAGAACATAAAGTCTGGAACAGTTGAGAAATAGGGAACTGAAAGTAGCTGGCGGATGCGGGTTCCAATGTACACAGGTATACGTGGAAAGTTATGTTCAGCAGAAAGTCAGCAGGAAGTCAGTAGAAAGTCAGCAGACCATCTGACTATAGTCTTAGAACAGGAAAGGGTATAAAGAGTTAGGTCTGGATTGGATTGATTTGCCATTGGCCTATAGCTGTCCTTTTGGAATCTGCTATGCCAGTGGACCTCATTGCAACAGGTTATTAATGTAAGTGATATTGTGTTATTATGCTTGCTGTGTTCCAAATGATTAGCAAAATAAACCTCTGAATCTTAAAGTAAGAATTATTGTTTTGTGTGGCTGTCTCTTGTCTTTTTCATTGGGTTTTTTTCCACGACATTCCCATCCCAGACTCTTAGGACCCTGAAGCTCACTGCATCAACTAGCATTTCCTTAAATACTTGCATATTCCTAAGTAAAGCTACATGGAAAATTTGATGGTGGTCCTTGGTTAAAAAAAAAGTACCATATTTTCCGGTGTATAAGACGACCGCCGACTTCGAAAAAGATTTGCATGGTTTAGAAAGTCGTCTTATACGCCGGAAAATACGGTAGGTGCAATGAAGTTCTGGCATGGAAGATGCAGAGATCCCAGTTTTAATGAAATGACTTGAGCTATGAGTTTCTAATATGTCCCTTGAAGCAGGGAGCAATAAACACCTGGTTTGATTGGTGTCCAGCTCCTCCATGGTGCTTCCTTGACGGGGGGAGCAAGCCATGACATCTCCTAAAAAGGCAGCTTTTGAAGGAACTTCTTAAGAAGGTCCCGCTTGACTACTTCTCTTATTTCTTCACTCCCCCGGTCTAGAGCCCTACTTTGTCCATGCGGTGGAGTGGAAGAACCATGTCTACTTCTTCTTCCGAGAGATCGCGATGGAATTCAACTACTTAGAGAAGGTGAGTCCATCAAATCAAGGGTTGGGTGGTCCACCTAAATTTGCATTGTCCCGAGGAGCGACTCGGTGGCTGAGCCTCTGAATCACCATAGATCAGAGTTTACCACTTTGACAACTTTAAGGCAAGTGGACTTCAGTTTCCCAGAAAACTGGCTGGGGAATTCTGGGAGTTGAAGTCCACATGGCTCGAAATGATCAAAGTTGGGAAATCCTGTCATAGGTGGTCTTCTACTGTTCTACTGAAATGGTATAGAACGGGGGTCTTCATACCTGGCCCTTTGATGACTTGTGGACTTCAACTCCCAGAATTCCTCAGCCAGCTGAGGAATTCTGGGAGTTGAAGTCCACAAGTCATCAAAGGGCCAAGTTTGAAGACCTCTGGTATAGAGTCTCCTGTTGACCAAGAAGTTGGACTAGTGATTAGAAGACCTCCAAGGTCCCTTCTACTTCTATTCTGATTGATTGATTGATTGATTGATTGATTGATGACTGCGTTGCTCCTGAACTTTGTGGGAACATATAAAGAAACAATTGGTGTACAGTAATGCCATGTTTACAATTTTGTAGAGATTTCAATTTATTTCTTAACAGTCCCTATACAACAAAAACTGAACTTCCATCTTTATGATAACTGTCAACTCTTTATTCACTGACATTTTGTTTTTTTTAATCAACTGCATATCTTTGTCTTTTTTTAGGTAGTTATTTGATCAGTTTCTTTAAATGTTTAAATAAATAAACTATTTTCTGGAGAGGCACCCGTTTTTATGGCCACGGAATATATTATAATGCAACGCAATACGTTATTCTGTTGTATCAAAAGATTGCCTTGCATTGTGTTATATATTATGTCCTTCTATTGTGCTTCCTATTATGGTCATGCTGTAATGAAACTGAAAAATGGGATCCTTGATTTGAGGCATTGCAAATGTCAGCCAGACTCGTAAATCGGCCGAGAATCTAACGCAAATCATATACGCATCTAAAAAAACCAAGCCGTTCTTTACACATAGCCCTCGAATTATGACCGCACAACAATTATGACGTGAATTTCTGCGGCTAAGTAGGGCGGTGGTGCTTACATGAGCCGCACTCCATTTTATGACCTTTTTATTTGAGACGGTCACTAAGCGAATCCCTGATGTTGCTCAGGGAATCGCCACCACTGTTAATCGAATTGTGCAGTTGTTAAGTGAGCCTTCCCTGGACTTTCAGCTAAGTCAAGTTCACAGATGGGGATCACGTGAACCCGAGGTGCTGCAACCATCAGTAAATGCATGCTGGTTGCCTTACCTGAATTTTGATTGTGAGGAAACCGTGACGGTCGTAAGTGTGAGGACGTGTTGCAATGGACTTTTTTCAGGGCCATTGCAAATTCGAATAGTCGATGGCAGGAATTAGGGATGTCTAGTCTAACGAAGAGAAGGACCAGTGGGGACAGAGTAGCAGTGTTCCAATATCTGGGGGGCTGCCCCACAGACGAGGGGGTTCTCCCCCTGCACTGGCATCGCTGGACTATAAGACCTCAGGGGTCTCTTCCAACTGAATTATTCCATATTTGTATTGTGCATCTATCCGTCTGTCTGTCTGTCTCTCTATTTATCTTTCCATCTGTCTATATCTATCCATCTCTCCATCCATCCATCCATCCATCTACATCAGTGTTTCCCAAACTTGACAATTTTAAGGCATGTGGACTTCAACTCCCAGAATTCCACAGCCAGCAATGCTGGCTGTGGAATTCTGGGAGTTGAAGTCCACATGCCTTAAAATTGTCAAGTTTGGGAAACACTGATCTACATCTATCTATCCCTATTTACCTTCCTATCTATCTATTGCTCTATCAACCTATCTATATCTATTGATCTATATTTATTGATCTATCTATATCGATATTGATCTATATCTATCAATCTATCTATATCTATTAATCTTTCTGTTTATATCTATCGATCTATATCTATAGATTTATCTATATCTATTTATCTTTCTGTCTATCGATCTATCTATCAATCTATCCATCCATCCATCCATCTATATCTATTTACCTCTCTCTGTCTGTCTGTCTATCTTTCTGTCTATATCTATCTTTCTATCAATCTGTCGATTTCTCTGTGTATTATCTATATCTATCTCTATCTATCCATCCATCTCTATTTACCTATCTATCTATCTATCTATCTCTATCTATCTATCTATCTATCTATCTATCTATCTATCTATCTATCTATCTATCTGTCTGTCTGTCTGTCTGTCTCTGTCTGTCCCTGTCTGTCTTTCTGTCTGTCTGTCTGTCTATCTATCTATCTATCTATCTGTCTATATCTTTAGCTATCGATCTGTTGATCTCTCTGTGTATTATCTATATCTATCTATCTATATCTCTCTGTCTATCTATCTATCTATCTATCTATCCATCCATCTCTATTTATCTATATCTATCTATCTATCTATCTCTATCTCTATTTACTGATCTATCTATCTATCTGTCTGTGTCTCTGTCTGTCCCTATCTAGCTATCTATCTATTAGTAATTACACTAAAAATATGATCCCTGGGTATATCCATACTTAAAATCAAACAAATAAACGTGAGCACCAGGGAATGCTATAAAAATTTAATAAAACTTAGTAAAACACCAATAAAATTTGAATAAAATTTCGATAAAACGCCTAGCTTTCGTCGGTGACTGTCGACATCATCAGGGCTCAATCAATATCTATCTATCTATCATCTATCTATCATCTATCTTTCTATCCATCCCTCCCTCCCTCCCCCTTGTCTAGAAGAAAAAGCCAAACTCAGGGCAGATACGAAGAGGATAGTCTTGTACAACCATCCTGTTCTTTGCCCAATTCAAACAGAATCCCGGAGACATCCAGCTTCCCTTCTTTCTCCTCCCCCACGCAGATGGTGGTTTCCCGGGTGGCCCGAGTGTGCAAGAATGACATGGGGGGGTCCCAGAGGGTGCTGGAGAAACAGTGGACTTCCTTCCTCAAGGCTCGTCTGAATTGCTCCGTCCCAGGAGACTCTCACTTCTACTTCAACGTCATCCAGTCGGTCACGGACATTTTGGAGATCGAGGGCAGGCCGATGGTGCTGGCTGTCTTCTCCACCCCCACCAACAGGTGAGCTGGATGGGCATCGTGTAGAAAAAGGGGTCTTCAAACTTGGCAACTTTAAGACTGGTGGGCTTTAGCTCCCAGAATTCCTCAGCCAGTCCCGCTATCTACATCTATATCTAGTCTGGTCCAGTGAAAAGAAGGAGTAGTGACCTCATAGCAGTCTTCCAGTATCTCAGGGGCTGTCCCAAAGAAGAGGGAGTCAAGCTATTCTCCAAAGAGCCTGAAGGCAGGATAAGAAGCAACGGGTGGAAACTGATCAAGGAGAGAAGCAATCTAGAACTAAGGAAAAACTTCCTGACAGTTAGAACAATTAACCAGCAGAACAACCTGCCTCCAGAAGCGGTGAATGCTCCAACACTGGAAGTTTTTAAGAAGAGACTGGACAGCCATCTGTCCGAAATGGTATAGGGTTTCCTGCCTGAGCAGGGAGTTGGACTTGAAGACCCCCAAGGTCACTTCCAGCTCTATTCTGATTGCTTGATTGACTGGAGAGAAGCAACCTGGAATATAAGGAGAAACTTCCTAAGAGCGATGAATCAGTGGAACAACGTGCCTCCCGAAGTTGTGGGTTCTCCAACACTGGAGGTTTTTCAGAAGAGATGGTACAAGCATTTGTCTGAAATGGTTTGGGGTCTTCTGCTCAAGCATGTGGTTGGACTAGAAGACCTCCGGGGTCCCTCTCAACCCCGATATTTTGTGTTGCATGTTCTATCTCAGGTTCAATCTATATAGTTTAGAAAGATAGAATAGAATAGGATAGGATATGTTCTGGAACCTGAATCGTGAAGTCTTTGTAATTCAAGGCCAGACAGGTTATAAAATAAATATTTTTTCAGGAATACTGGTAGAATTCATGTTTCAGTAGTTTCATCTGGATGTTGCATATTTGTTCATTTTTGTAGGTAAAATCATTCATTCCTTCACATCAACTTCTAGCGTGAATTAAGACCGTGTCTGTCCTCCGGTATTCCCATGCTTATCTCAGACAAAGACATTCCAAACTGGCACTTAGCCAGGATATCCTGTGATGAATTTAGTAGCCCCTCCCACTGACTTGTTAACATAGGATTCACTGCACAGCTAAACTGCATTAGCCATAACCCTTCTCTTAAGGAGACAGCGCTTAACCCTATAAATGCCAAACATTCTAACATACAGATCTATATGCTCTGGTCAGGTTTACATTGATCCAGCACAGGATAGGATAGAATAGAATAGAATAGAATAGAATAGAATAGAATAGAATAGAATAGAATAGAATAGAATAGAATAGACCTTGGAGGTCTTCTAGTCCAGCCCCCTGCTCAAGCAGGAGAACCTACACCATCTCAGACAGGTCTTCTTAAAAATCTCCAGTGATGGAGCACCCATGTTTTCTGGGGGTAAGCCCCGAAACGCAACTGTAGTCTTGCGATCCAGAGCTACCCAGTTTTCCTTCCTGACACATTTTTGTCTGTGTGTGTCTGTCTTGCAGCATTCCCGGCTCTGCCGTCTGCGCCTACGACATGACCCAAATTGCAGCCGTTTTTGAAGGTCGCTTCCGAGAGCAAAAATCTCCTGAATCCATTTGGACCCCGGTACCGGAAGAGCTGGTTCCCAAACCACGGTAAGAGAATAAACCACAGATCCCATAGAAACCACACGTGCTGCAAAAAACGCCACTGTGGAAATTCCAAAGGTGTTTGTTTTTTTCCAGGAGGTAACTGGACTTCCTTGTTTTTCCTTTGAAGACGTTTCGCTTCTCCTCCAAGAAGTTTCTTCAGCTCTGACTGGATGGTGGGGAAGGGAAGGATTTATACTCCTTGCAGACCACTGGTCATTTGCATCCTTTTAGAGAGTCGTTGAGGCCACTTGGAGGCTTGTCTGTGTCCTCAAGGTCACCTGAGTGGTGCAAATGGGTGTGGAGCCACCTTGGAACTGCTGAAAGGACTAGTCATATAATTATTCTATTCTATTCTATTCTATTCTATTCTATTTGCATTCTTTTAGAGAGTCATTGAGGCCACTTGGAAGTTTACCTTTGTGCTCAGGGTCACCTGAGTGGTGCAAATGGGCGTGGAGCCTTCTTGGAAGTGTTGAAAAGATCATGTTATAAACAGATTGTCAACGCTGCTAACATGTTTTTGCATCGACAACAGATGGAAATCTAGCCATCTTTTTCCTTTCGCTTTTAGAGTTAGATGATGCTGGGACGTGGGGGGGGGAATGTGAATGAGAGGCAGCTAGACATAACAACACTAAACCTAGTGTGAGAAACAAGGTTATTGTAACCAGAGCTGATAAGGAATTGGCAGGCTGGAGAACTGGAGAGGAAGCTCGTGCTTCAAGCTAATTGGGGAATGTGATTTATGACGGTTAATTAGAGGAGGGAAGTGCTTTGATACTATGTGCTCAGGGGAGGGGAATTCAGTTTTTGGCTTTGATTATGCAGTGCCGATATTATGCTATTCAAAATAAAGATTCTTTAAGTTAAACAACACCTTGAAGTTCTTTTGAAGAGTTTCATCTGTCGGAACCATGACACAGGGGATAGGAGGTGTCGTATCCTTCCCTCTCTGTTGAGAGAAGGCTGTTCAATTTTGACCTAGACCAGGGGTGGGGAAACTTGGCTCTTTTATGACTCGTGGACTTCAACTCCCAGAATTCCTGAGCCAGTATGGCTCAGCTTGGAAACCTCTCCCTTTCCCCTCAGCGTGGCTGGCTCAGGAATTCTGGGAGTTGAAGTCCACCAGTCATAAAAGAGCCAAGGTTGCCTACTCTAGCCCTATGTTGTATCGTGTGTTTAAATGCGCAACATAGTCCAATGATAGCAAACCTTTTAGAGACCGAGTGCCCAAACCGCAACCCCAAACCCACTTATTTATCGCAAAGTGCCAGGGCCTCATCAGCATTGTCGTGCCCTCGGGGGAGGGGGCAGGGAGGCGCCTCTGAGCGCTGCCTCTGGCACCCAGAAACCAGGGGCGCAAAAATGGGCCACCGTGCCGCAAGGTGCAAAAATGGCCACCGCCCCACTGCAGAGTACAGATACAAGGCGCTGCACCACGCAAGAATGGGGCAGGGCTAGTGGGTATCATGCAGGCACTAGCCCCACCCCATTTGCAGCATGTGTGTGCTCGCGACCCCGTGCACACATGCACACATGTAAAATGCTCCCCCATCCCTTTTCTTCCAGTCTACCAATCGACAATGGTTGGTGATATCTGCTCTACCACGTCTACTCGAGCTTGCAAGTCGGCTGCTTTGCCTCCTTTGTGCTGGGTGGGGCTCCTGCTTTGGGCGGCAGTGGTGGTCTGATGGACCTGCTGCTAGCAGCGGTGGTGCGCATGCCAACAGAGAGGCCTCTGAGTGCCGCCTCTGGCACGCGTGTTTCCCGCCTGAGCAGGGGGTTGGACCAGATGACCTCCAAGTTCCCTTCCAACTTTATTATTATTATTATGGATCATCGCACAGTCAGCCAGATGTTCAGACTGGCATTTTGTCTACCTATCGAGTCCTTACCCAGGACCTGGGATAGGCAGATGTGGATGTTTGATGGTATTACAGATATTGTCGCAGGATGGAAGCAGTTCCCAGTAAGGCCGCCTTTTGCAATTGACTAATGGCGAATTTGTCAATGCCAATGGTGTTCAAGTAGTGCTCCAGTTGTTTTGGGATTGCACCCAAGGAGCCTATGACTATTGGTACTACCCTTGCTTACTTTTGCCACACTCTTTCTATTTCTATTTGTAGGTCTTTGTATTTTGTGATCTTCTCCAGTTCTTTCTCGTCTATTCTGCTGTCTCCAGGCACTGCCACGTCCACTATCCAGACTTTTTTCTCTTTCTTATCGACAATTGTTAAGTCTGGGGTGTTAAGTTGCAGGTGCTTGTCTGTTTGAATTCTGAAGTCCCAGAGCAGTTTAATTTTATCATTTTCTATGACTTTCTCTATTTTATGATCCCACCAGTTTTTGCTTACAGCAAATGATATTTTTTGCAGATCTTCCAATGCACCATTGTTGCTACTTTGTCATGCCGCTGCTTGTAGTCAGTATTATTATTATTATTATTATTATTATTATTATTATTAATGCCACCACTGACATAGGAGAACAAACCAAAACGGCTCCACACCTATTTGCACCACTGAGGTGACCCTGAGGACACAGCTAAACCTCCAAGTGGTCTCAACGACTCTCTAAAAGAATGCAAATGACCAGCTGTCTGCAAGGAGTATAAATCCTTCCATTCCCCACCATCCAGTCAGAGCTGAAGAAGCTTCTGAGAGGAGAAGGGAAACATCTTCAAAGGAAAAACAAGAAAGTCCATTTGCCTCCTGAAAAAAAGCACCTTTGGGACAACCCTGACCTGGATGACTGAGCATCTCCATAGACACTACGGAAATGTCTCTAGTCCTCAGGGAATTCCTCCTGATGTTCCTCAGTCTCTCAACTGATCTCAGGGCCAATTTCTCTGCAACTGCACATATCATAGGATTAGTCCTTGACTTACACTCATTCATTTTGTTGTTGTTGTTAATTGCGAAGTCATGTCTGACCTATCGCGACCCCATGGACAACATTCCTCCAGGCCTTCCTGTCCCCTACCATCTTCTGGAGTCAATTGAAGCTCACGCCTCCTGCTTCAGTGACTTCATCCAGCCACCTCCTTCTCTGTCACCCCCTTCTTCTCTTGCCCTCCATCTTTCCCAGCATCAGGCTCTTCTCCAGTGAGTCCTTCCTTCTCATTAGGTGGCCAAAGACTTGAGTTTCAACTTCAGAATCTGGCCTTCTAAAGAGCAGTCGGGGTTGATCTCCTCCAGGACTGACCGGTTTGACCACCTTGCAGTCCAGGGGACTCACAGGAGTCTTCTCCAGCACCATAGTTCAAAGGCCTCCATTCTTTGGCGACTCATTCATTTCGTAACCATTAAGTTACAACAGCACCGAAAAAAGTGACTTAGAAGTATTTTTCCACACTTGTAACTGTGACAGCATCCCTGTTGGTCACCTGATCAAAATTCAGACGCTAGGCCCCTGACTCACATTTACGACGGGGTCCTGTAAATCCCCCTTGGGCGACCTTCTGACTTCTTCCCTTGACCTGGCTAGTTGGAAGGTCGCAGAAACCGAACCCATGACCCTGGGATGCCACAACTGTCAGAACTACCTGCCAGTTGGTTGAAAACAGAATTTTGTCTCATTTTACCACCTTCCTGGCCAACATCGTTAAGTGAATCGCCGCCGTTGTTAAATGAGTGACGCAGCGGATAAGCGAGCTTGGCTTCCCCCGTCAACTCGGCTTGCCGGAAGGTCGCCAGAGCGGAACGCACGGCCCCCGAGAGGCCGCGACCGTCGTAAGTGCGAGTCATTTGCCAAGCGTCCGAATTTTGATCACGCTGCCAGCGGTTGTGGGAAAACCGTTCTTAAGTCCCTTTTCTCGGTGCCGTCGTAACGTGAAACGGTCGCTGAACGAAGGACTGTAAGTCCAAGATGACCTGTAGAAGGGCGGGATAACCGGCGAGGGACGTTGTAGGGGTGGCTGATGACCCAGGGGGGAAAGGGGGTCAGGCAAATCATCCCCCCAAACGTCGCCCGTCTTCCGTTGTCCTGCATCTCACGGTCTCCTCTTTTGTTCCCCAGACCAGGTTGCTGTGCGGTGCCCGGAATGCAGCACAACTCCTCCAGTCTTTTTCCCGACGAGATCCTCAACTTTGTCAAGACCCATCCCCTGATGGACGAGTCGGTCCCATCGCTGGGAAACGCTCCTTGGATCATCCGGAGCGTGGCTCGGTGAGCAATGAGGAATAGTAAACAATATCTCCTCCTCCTCCTCCTTCTTTTTCTTCTGCTGCTGCTTCTGCTTCTTCTGCTTCTCATTCTCTTGCCGCCTCCTCTTCTTCTCCTTCTTCTGCTACTGCTTCTCCTCTCTGCTCTTCCTCTTCTTCTCTCCTTCTCTTCCTCCTCCTTCTCCCTCCTCCTCCTTCTTCTTCTTCTGCTACTGCTTCTGCTTCTTCTGCGTCTCATTCTCTTGCCTCCTCCTCTTCTTCTCTCCTTCTCCTCCTCTTCCTCTTCCTCCTCCTTCTCCCTCCTTCTCCTCCTTCTTCTCCTCCTCCTCCTCCTCTTCTTCTTCTTCTTCTTCTTCTTCTTCTGCTTCTTCTGCTTCACATTCTCTTTCCTCCTCCTCCTCTTCTTTCGTCCTCCTGCTATTGCTGCTTCTCCTTCCTCCTCCTTCTCATCTTCTACTCCTCTTTCTTCTTCCTCTTCTTCTCTCCTCCTCCTCTTCCTCCTCCTCCTCCTCCTCCTCCTTCTTCTTTTTCTTCTGCTGCTGCTTCTGCTTCTTCTGCTTCTCATTCTCTTGCCGCCTCCTCTTCTTCTCCTTCTTCTGCTACTGCTTCTCCTCTCTGCTCTTCCTCTTCTTCTCTCCTTCTCTTCCTCCTCCTTCTCCCTCCTCCTCCTTCTTCTTCTTCTGCTACTGCTTCTGCTTCTTCTGCGTCTCATTCTCTTGCCTCCTCCTCTTCTTCTCTCCTTCTCCTCCTCTTCCTCTTCCTCCTCCTTCTCCCTCCTTCTCCTCCTTCTTCTCCTCCTCCTCCTCCTCTTCTTCTTCTTCTTCTTCTTCTTCTTCTGCTTCTTCTGCTTCACATTCTCTTTCCTCCTCCTCCTCTTCTTTCGTCCTCCTGCTATTGCTGCTTCTCCTTCCTCCTCCTTCTCATCTTCTACTCCTCTTTCTTCTTCCTCTTCTTCTCTCCTCCTCCTCTTCCTCCTCCTCCTCCTCCTCCTCCTTCTTCTTTTTCTTCTGCTGCTGCTTCTGCTTCTTCTGCTTCTCATTCTCTTGCCGCCTCCTCTTCTTCTCCTTCTTCTGCTACTGCTTCTCCTCTCTGCTCTTCCTCTTCTTCTCTCCTTCTCTTCCTCCTCCTTCTCCCTCCTCCTCCTTCTTCTTCTTCTGCTACTGCTTCTGCTTCTTCTGCATCTCATTCTCTTGCCTCCTCCTCTTCTTCTCTCCTTCTCCTCCTCTTCCTCTTCCTCCTCCTTCTCCCTCCTTCTCCTCCTTCTTCTCCTCCTCCTCCTCCTCTTCTTCTTCTTCTTCTTCTTCTTCTGCTTCACATTCTCTTTCCTCCTCCTCCTCTTCTTTCGTCCTCCTGCTATTGCTGCTTCTCCTTCCTCCTCCTTCTCATCTTCTACTCCTCTTTCTTCTTCCTCTTCTTCTCTCCTCCTCCTCTTCCTCCTCCTCCTCCTCCTCCTCCTTCTTCTTTTTCTTCTGCTGCTGCTTCTGCTTCTTCTGCTTCTCATTCTCTTGCCGCCTCCTCTTCTTCTCCTTCTTCTCTCCTCCTCCTCCTTCTTCTTTTTCTTCTGCTTCTGCTGCTGCTTCTGCTTCTTCTGCTTCTCATTCTCTTGCCCCCTCTTCTTCTTCTCCTTCTGCTACTGCTTCTCCTCTCTGCTCTTCTTCTCTCCTTCTCCTCCTCTTCCTCCTCCTTCTCCCTCCTCTTCCTCCTTCCTCTCCTCCTCCTCCTCTTCTTCTTCTTCTTCTTCTACTTCTTCTCCTTCACATTCTCCTTCCTCCTCCTCCTCCTCCTCTTCTTTCCTCCTCCTTCTGCTGCTGCTGCTTCTCCTTCCTCCTCCTCCTCCTCCTCTTCTACTCTCTCTTCTTCCTCTTCTCTCCTCCTCCTCCTCCTCCTCTTCCTCCTCCTCCTCCTTCTTCTTTTTCTTCTGCTGCTGCTTCTCCTTCTTCTGCTTTTCATTCTCTTGCGTCCTCCTCTTCTTCTCCTTCTGCTGCTGCTTCTCCTTCCTCCTCCTCTCATCTTCCTCTTCCTCCCTCCTCCTCCTCCTTCTTCTCCTCCTCTTCTTCTTCCTCTTCTTCTTCTTCTTCTTCTGCTTCACATTCTCCTTCCTCCTCCTCCTCTTTCCTCCTCCTTCTGCTGCTGCTGCTTCTCCTTCCTCCTCCTCATCTTCTACTCCTTCTCTCTCTTCTTCCTCTTCTTCTCTTCTCCTCCTTCTTCTGCTTCCTCTTCCTCCTCCTTCTCCCTCCTCCTCTTCTTCTTCCTCCTCCTCCTCCTTCTTTCTTCTCCTCGATCTCTCCTCCTCCTCCTCCCCTCCTTCCTCTCTTCCTTCTCCCTCCTTCTCCTCTTCTCCTCCCTCCTCCTTCCTCCGGTCGCTAAGCTGGTTCCGTTTGGCCACAAATCTAAAAACCGTCGTAAAACGCAGTCACCTGACCACCAGATTTGTCGAACGGCTATTACCTGAAATTCGGTCAATTGACCACAGGGAAGGGCAGCCATTGGGACTTCAGCTCCGGGGCATAAATCCCCTTTTCCAGGCGGGTGGAAACTTCGAACAGTTGCTAAGCAACCGGTCGTAAGTCGAGGACTCTCTGTCTCCGTTTCTCTTTGCGCCGCTGGTGAATGTTTGTTGCCTTTTTGCTGCTGTTCTTGCTGGTTGTTGTTGATCCAACAGGACCGGAGGGCCTGCAATCCATTTTGCTTTTCTCGCTGTAAGCTGTCTAGTCAGCCTCTAAATTCATAAATACAGGGAGTTCCCGACTTACAACCACTCATTTAGTGACCGTTCAAAGTTACAACGGCACTGGAAAAAGTGAGTTAGGACCGTTTTTTCACACTTACGACGGTCGGTCGCAGTGTCCCCGTGGTCACCCGATCCAAATTCAGACACTCGGCCACCAACTCGCATTTATGACGGTCGCAGTGTCCCGCGATCCCCTTTTGCGACCTTCCAGAAAGCAAAGTCAATCGGGAAGCCGGGTTCACTTTAAAAAAAAAACTGTCTCATTAACTTAACTGCAGTGATTTCACTTAACAACCGAGGCAAAGAAAGGGGCCGAAATGAAGAAAAGATCGCTGAAGAACTGTCTCGCTTAGCGACGGAAATTTTGGGCTCCGTGACGGTCGTAAGTCGAGGACGCCCTGGAAATAATCTGCGAAATGTAAATAAATAAAGAGCAGCCCCCCCCATCTGCTTTTTCGGAGGGAGCTCTCTCTCTCTCTCCCTTCGGGGTGCTTAACGGTGTAATTTTCAGCCAATTAAGCCGTGACATCTGCTTCGATTTGCAAGCGAGAGAGAAGCCGGAGGCCTCAGGCAAAGGAAGCATTTGAAGCAGGATTCGCTTGTACAGCAACCGAGAGGCCTTTCCTGAAACGAGCCTTTGATGTTTCCAAAATAAGCCTCCCGATTAACCAAGTTAATCTTGCTTTATGGAATAGAACAGAACAGAATAACAAAGTTGGAAGGGACCTTGGAGGAATAGAATAGAATAGAATAGAATAGAATAGAATAGAATAGAATAGAATAGAATAGAATAGAATAGAAAATATAGAATAGAATAGAATAGAATAGAATAGAATAGAATAGAATAGAATAGAATAGAAAATATGGAATAGAATAATTAGAATAGAATAGAATATGGAATGGAATAGAATAGAATAGAAAATATGGAATAGAATAATAATGGAATAGAATAGAATAGAATAGAATAGAATAGAATAGAATAGAATAGAATAGAATAGAATAGAATAGAATAGAAAATATGGAATAGAATAATAAGAATGGAATGGAATGGAATAGAACAGAACAGAATAGAATAGAGCTGGAAGGGACCTTGAAGGTCTTCTAGTTCAGCCCCCCGCTCAAGCAGGAGAACCTATACCATTTCAGACAGGTGATTGTCTAGCCTTTTCTTAAAAATCTCCAGCGTTGGAGCATTCACAGCTTCTGGAGACAGGTTGTTCCACTGGTTAATTGTTCTCAATGTCAGGAAGTTTCTCCTTAGTTCTAGGTTGCTTCTATCCTTGATGAGTTTCCATCCGTTGCTTCTTGTCCTGCCTTCAGCTGCTTTGGAGAATAGGTGGACCCCCCCCCTTCTTTGGGGCAGCCCCTCAAATATCTCTATATGCTATCATGTCACCCCTCGTCCTTCTCTTCATTAAACTAGAGACATACCCAATTATCACAATGATCTTTCCTCACCCCTCCTCCTATCTGTTGCATGCAGCAGCATCTGGCAATCTCCTCCTCACTGAAGCCATTAAAAGCAGTCCTCGCACTTACGACCACCATTGCACCCCAAATGTCTACGCACGGCTAAGCGCGACGGTCGATAAGCTCATTTTACCACCTTCCTTGCGACCGTTGTTAAGTGAATCCCTGCCGTTATTAAGTGAGTCACATGGTCGTTAAGCGAATCTGGCTTCCCCCATCAACTTTGCTTGTCAGAAGGCCGCGAAAGGGGGTCACGTGAACCCCCCCCCGGGACAATGCGACCGTCGTAAATACGAACCGGTTGCCAAGCATCTTAATTTGGCTCCCCTCATCGCAGGGAGGCTGCAAGGGCCATTAGTGTGAAAAACCTTTTTTCAGTTCCGTCGTAATTTTGGTCACTAAACGAACGGTCGTAAGTTGAGGACTCTTTGTCGTTACACTACGGCCGGCCTTGTCACAATTTACCTTCATTATTGTTTTCTCCCCCCAGGCAGGTGGAGGAGAGCGGAGGGAAGCGTTCGCTTCTCTTAATTTCCTAAGCGTCTCAGCCAAGACCGTCTGGATCTAATTAAATCTGTCCTAATTGCTGTTTTATGTGAAATTAATCAAGCATTATTTCTGTCCTCTTGCAAAAATTGCACACCAGGAGATGCCATTTGCAGGGGGAGCGTGGGGGGGGGTGTTGAGTTGTTTCGCGCATGTGGCTTGGCTGTTTTTAGTACTGCGCGGAGGACAATTTCTGTTTGTGTGTGTGTGTGTGTGTGTGTGTTGTCCGGATGCGTGTGTGAATGCTCCAACACTGGAAGTTTTTAAGAAGAGACTGGACAGCCATTTGTCTGAAACGGTATAGGGTTTCCTGCCTGAGCAAGGGTTTGGACTAGATGACCTCCAAGGTCCCTTCTAACTTTATTATTATTATTATTAACAACCTGCCTCCAGAAGCTGTGAATGCTCCAACACTGGAAGTTTTTAAGAAGAGACTGGACAGCCATTTGTCTGAAATGGTGTAGGGTTTCCTGCCTGAGCAGGGGGTTGGACTAGATGACCTCTAAGGTCCCTTCCAACTTATTATTATTATTATTATTATTATTATTATTATTATTATTATTATTATTATTATTATCATCATCGCACAGTCAGACAGATGTTCAGACTGGATTTGGCGTTTTGTCTACCTATCGAGTCCTTACCCAGGATCTGGGATAGGCAGATGTGGATGTTTGATGGTATTACAGGTATCGTCGCAGGATGGAAGCAGTTCCTAGTAAAGCCGCCTTTTGCAATTGACTAATAGCGAATTTGTCAATGCCAATGGTGTTCAAGTGGTGCTCCAGTTGTTTCGGGATTGCACCCAAGGAGCCTATGACTATTGGTACTACCCTTGCTTGCCTTTGCCCCAGTCTTTCTATTTCTATTTGTAGGTCTTTGTATTTTGTTATCTTCTCCAGTTCTTTCTCTTCTATTCTGCTATCTCCAGGCACTGCCACGTCCACTATCCAGACTTTTTTGTCTTTCTTATCGACAATTGTTAAGTCTGGGGTGTTATGTTGCAGGTGCTTGTCTGTTTGAATTCTGAAGTCCCAGAGCAGTTTAATTTTATCATTTTCTATGACTTTCTCTATTTTATGATCCCACCAGTTTTTGCTTACAGGCAAATGATATTTTTTTTCAGATCTTCCAATGCACCATTGTTGCTACTTTGTCATGCCGCTGCTTGTAGTCAGTCTGTGCAATCTTCTTGCAACAGCTTACCAGGTGGTCCACTGTTTCTTCAGCTTCTTTGCATAGACGGCACTTACTGTCTGTTGCTGTCTTCTCAATTTTGACTTTATATGCATTTGTCCTTAAGGCTTGGTCTTGTGCAGCCAGAATTAGTCCCTCGGTCTCTTTCTTCAATTTTCCTGCTCTTAGCCATTGCCAGGTCTTGTTATTATCTGCTTTCCCAGCTATTTTTTTAATGTATTGGCCATGTAGTGCTTTGTCTTCCCATGCCTCTATTCTATTCTTTATTTGGTCTTTCTTGTGGGCCAGTTTGGTCTCTCCAGTAGTTAGTAAGCCTTCCTGATATACTAATTTCAGTGCATCTTCATCATCAATTCCTCCCCTCCTGCACCGGGCCCCGCCCACCCTTGTTTCCTCTGCCTTCATATGCAAATCAGCCACAGTGAATTGGGAATCATAACAGCTGTAATGACACTGTCAATTTTTTTTTACTAATTCATATTTTGGATTTTTTTTCCCGATATCCGCCATACCGATCCAGCGATTTTTCTGTAATTTGATCCTTTGATTCTTCAACCTAACAGCTGTAATAATAATAATAATGATGATGATGATGATGTAGCACATGCAACATAACACCCCGGATTTAACAATTGTCAATAAGAAAGACAAAAAATAGTGGACATGGCAGAGCCTGGAGACAACAGAATAGACGAGAAAGAACTGGAGAAGATAACAAAATACAAAGACCCACAAATAGAAATAGAAAGACTGTGGCAAAAGCAAGCAAGGGTAGTACCAATAGTCATAGGCTCCTTGGGTGCAATCCCAAAACAACTGGAGCACCACTTGAACACCATTGGCATTGACAAATTCGCTATTAGTCAATTGCAAAAGACAGCCTTATTAGGAACTGCTTCCATCCTGCGACGATATCTGTAATACCACCAAACATCCACATCTGCCTATCCCAGATCCTGGGTAAGGACTCGATAGGTAGACAAAATGCCAAATCCAGTCTGAACATCTGGCTGACTGTGCGATGATCCATAATAATAGTAGTATTAGTAGTATTAGTAGTATTAGTAGTAGTAGTAATAGTAAAGTTGGAAGGGACCTTGGAGGTCATCTAGTCCAACCCCCTGCTCAGGCAGGAAACCCTGTCTGAGATCTTTGGAAAGAACGCAAACACTGATTTAATCCTGTTTTATTGGACTGTCCTGTCTGGAGCGTTGCCCCCCGCCCCGCCAAGCGGTCTCGGAGTGGGAAGGCTGAGTGTAGGGAAACCGCTGAAACAATTGATGTAGAATATAGGTAGCCCTCAAGTTGCGACCGTCATGGAGCCCCATATTTACGGTTGTAGGTTGTGATCCATTCCCATAATAAAGCTAGAGCTAGACTACAGATTGTCCTTGATTTTGAACCACAACAAAATTTCTGTCACTAAGCGAGACGGTTGTTAAGCGAGTTTTGCCCCATTTTACGACCTTTCTCACCACCCTTGCTAAGCGAATCGCCGCAGTTGTGAAGTGAGTCACGTGGTTGTTAAGTGAATCCGGCTTCCCCCTTGACGATGCTTGTCCAAAGGTCGTAAAAAGGGAATCACACGACCCCGGGACACTGCGACCATCGTAAATACGAGTCGGTTGCCAAATGTCTGAATTCTGATCAGCTGCCCACAGGGATGCTGCGGCGGTCGTAAGTGTCACCTTTTTTCAGTGCCATCGCAACTGAAACGAATCGTCATAAGTTGAGGACTGCCTGTAATTATAACAATAATCCAGGTGGGACCAAAAAAGTCTTTAACTCAGTGGTTCTCAACCTGTGGGTCGGGACTCCATTTGGGGTCGAACGACCATTTCATGGGGGTCGCCAAACAACACAGTCCGCCATTTTTTCCCCCCTTTTCCTTAGCTGTGCTACTCCCTTTTATTCTATTGGCTTTTGAAAGCCAATAGCATAGACTGTCTTGAATACAGTCTAATTCTATTGGCTTTCAAAAGCCAATAGGAATTGTCCAGGCTGTCTCTGCCCTGCTGAGCCCGCCAAAAGTCCCATTCTGCAAACGGTGCTGCACCCGTTGAGTAGTCCTTGACTTACGATCGGTTGAGTAGTCCTCGACTTACGACCGGTTGGGGGGGGTCGCGGCATTAAAAAGGTTGAGAACCACTGCTTTAACTCACCTGGCCCAGTGTGTTAATTCCGTGCTCCATCCTTTTCCGGCAGGTACCAACTCCGGAAGATTGTGGCGGACAACACAGCCGGACCGGGCAGGAACTACACCGTTGTCTTCCTGGGCTCCGATTCGGGAACCGTCCTAAAATTCCTCATCCGCGCCAACCTCAGTGCCGGCTCTTCCGACGCCCGAGCCAGGGGCCACAGCTTGCTGCTGGAGGAATTTGAGACGTACCCCAGCGACAAGTGAGCCGAAACCGACAAACACACTTGTTTGTCACACACAAAGGCATGCACGCCCCTTGGTTTTTCAGAGTTCAGGGCGGAAGCAACAAGGCTTCACCCTAGCTGGGTAGAGAATTCTGGGAGTTGAAGTCTACCTGTGCTGGCTGGGGAATTCTGGGAGTTGAAGTCTATTCATGCTGGCTAGGGAATTCTGGGAGTTAGGACTGCACCCATGCTGGCTGGGGAATTCTGGGAGTTGAAGTCCACGCATGTTGGCTGGGGAATTCTGGGAGTTGAAGTCCACGCATGTTGGCTGGGGAATTCTGGGAGTTGGGACTGCACCCATGCTGGCTGGGGAATTCTGGGAGTTAGGACTGCACCCATGCTGGTGGGGAATTCTGGGAGTTGGTCCACTCTTGCTGGCTGGGGAATTCTGGGAGTTAGGACTGCACCCATGCTAGCTGGGGAATTCTGGGAGTTGAAGTCCACTCATGCTGGCTGGGGAATTCTGGGAGTTAGGACTGCACCCATGTTAGCTGGGGAATTCTGGGAGTTGAAGTCCACCTGCGCTGCGTAGAGAATTCTGGGAGTTGAAGTCCGCTCATGCTGGCTGGGGAATTCTGTGAATTATTTTATTTTATTATTTTATTCAGATCTATAGAGCTTCCCACCTTCTAACTCAACTCAGGGAGGCTCACAAAGACATTTTTTCATTTCTGCCTTTCTTTTTCTTTCTTTCTTTCGCATTTTTATTTCAAAACTTGCTGCCACCGCTCTCCGAGTTGTTACGCATCGGATGGCATATACACATTGAATAAATAACAATAATAGCCCCCTGAGTCTTCCGGAAGGACTTGACGGATGGATAAACACGGTAAATCCAGATTAAACCTATGGCTGAGTCTTTCAACCCATCATCCTCTTCCTCTTTTCCGAGGTGCGGCAAGGACGGGACTGGCGAAAGGAAACTGCTGAGCATGGAGCTGGACAAGGCCACGGGGTCACTGCTGCTGGCCTTCCCGCCCTGCGTCGTACGGGCCCCAGTGGCCAGGTGCCACCAGCACTCCACCTGTATGAAGTGAGTCCCACTTTTCCTGCTGCTGAGCTGGGGCTGGGGGCCGTTCGGCCCGTGGGAGGGCAGGGATTCCCCCCAAAACAGATACAACACAGCGGAAATCGAGTCACGCCAGTCAGTGGGATATCTCCAGCAAGTTGAGAGCTGGTTTGGCCTAGGCCCGCAGGGATAGGCAACCTTGGCTCTTTTATGACTGGTGGACTTCCACTCCCAGAATTCCTGAGCCAGCCATGCTGAGGGGAAAGGGAGAGGTTTCCAAGCTGAGCCATGCTGGCTGAGGGATTCTGGGAGTTGAAGTCCACGAGTCATAAAAGAGCCAAGGTTGCTTACCCCTGGCCTAGATGATTGATAGATAGATAGATAGATAGATAGATAGATAGATAGATAGATAGATAGATAGATAGATAGATACAGACAGACAGACAGATAGATAGATAGATAGACAGAGCGAAGCTGGCTCAGGAATTCTGGGAGTTGAAGTCCACGAATCATAAAAGAGCCAAAGTTGCCTACCCCTATCCTAGGACGAAGATTAAGAGCAGGGGTCTTCAAACCTGGCTCTTTTATGACTGGTGGACTTCAACTCCCAGAATTCCTGAGCCAGCCATGCTGAGGGGACAGGGAGAGGTTTCCAAGCTGAGCCATGCTGGCTCAGGAATTCTGGGAGTTGAAGTCCACGATTATAAAAGGGCCAAGGTTGCCTACCCCTGCCATAGATATAGATAAGTAGGTAGGCAGGCAGGCAGACAGACAGACAGACAGACAGACCTAGGCCAGGGGTACACAACCTTGGCTCTTTTATGACTCGTGGACTTCAACTCCCAGAATTCCTGAGCCAGCCATGCTGAGGGGAAAGGGAGAGGTTCCCATGCTGAGCCATGCTGGCTCAGGAATTCTGGGAGTTGAAGTCCACCAGTCATAAAAGGGCCAAGGTTGCCTACCCGTCCTAGTGGTTAAAGCAATGACCTGGAAACCAGGAGATGGTGAGTTCTAGTTCCGCCTTAACGCGTGAAAGCTGGTTAGGTGCCTTAGGCCAGTGACTGGGAAATGGTGAGTTCTAGTCCTGCTTTAGGCATGAAAGCCAACTGGGTGACTTTAGGCCGATCACTGGAGATGGTGAGTTCTAGACCTGCCCTCAGTATGAAAGCCGGCATAGTGACTTTCGGCCAATCTCTAGGAGACTGTGAATTCTAGTCCCACCTTAGTTATAAAAGTCGGCTGGATGACTTTGGGCCAATCACTAGGAGACGGTGAGTTCTAATCCCACCTTAGGTATGAAAGCTGGCTGAGCGAATCACTAGAAGACTGTGAGTTCTAGTCCCATCTTAGGTATGAAATCTGGCTAGGTGACTTTGGGCCAATCATCAGGAGACAGTGAGTTCTAGCCCCACCTTAGGCAGGAAAGCCAGCTGGGTAATTTCGCACCCGACACTAGGAGATGGTGAGTTCCTGCTTTAGGCATGAAAGCCAACTGGATGACTTTAGGCCAATTACTGGAGATGGGGAGTTCTAGACCTGCCCTCAGCATGAAAGCCGGCATAGTGACTTTAGGCCAATCACTAGGAGACTGTGAATTCTAGTCCCATCTTAGTTATGAAAGTCGGCTGGGTGACTTTAGGCCAATCACTAGGAGACTGTGAATTCTAGTCCCATCTTAGTTATGAAAGTCGGCTGGGTGACTTTGGGCCAATCACTAGGAGACTGTAAATTCTAGTCCCACCTTAGTTTTGAAAGTCGGCTGGGTGACTTTGGGCCAATCACTAGGAGACTGTGAGTTCTAGTCCCGTCTTACATATAAAAGCTGGCTGGGTGACTTTGGGCCAATCACTAGGAGACTGTGAGTTCTAGTCCCACCTTAGGTATAAAAGCCAGCTGGGTAATTTTGGGCCAGTCACCGGGAGAGGGTGAGTTCTAGTCCTGCCTTAAGTCTGCCCATCTTCAAACTGCCAAACAGTGCAGAAACAGTGGTCTACAGAGAAAGGTAACACAGGCAGATAAAGCACAAATCTGAGCTCTCCTAAAATGAATATATTACGTTACGCCATTAGACGTTCCCCGCGTTATGAGATATCTTATGTCCATTTCCTTAGCAACATCCATAAAGCTGTTCCGTTTTGAGCAGAAAATAAAATGAAATAAAATGCTGGCTTAGCACTTTTCGGCTCATTAAAAGGAAACTGTAGGCAATAAATAATGCATTAGCTCGATACTGTACTATAAATTATACATCAAATTAAAAGAAGGGCTTTGAAGCCCGAATTTTTCGATTGCGGCCCAATTGCGTGTATAAAATTGTAGCCCGAGAATGGTTTCCCCAATTAAAAATTCCAGGTCAAATTTATTTATTTATTTTTTAAATACAAGGTGATTCTGGACATTGAGATAAACTTCCACGTTTAATAAGCCTTTCCTCCAGAGAAGGTGTCAAAGGACTTTTCCAATAAAAGGCATGTAAAAACCCTTGCAGCTATTAATATAAATGACGCCAATTCTGTACGTTTTGGTCTATTAGTTCCTTCTTCTCTCTTTCCTTTCTTTCCCTTCTCTCCTTCCTTCCTTCCTCCCTTCCTTTCTTTCCCTTCTCTTTCTTTTTCCTTTGTTCCCTCCCCCTATAATAATAATAAGAATAACAATAATAATAATAATGTTGGAAGGGAGCTTGGAGGTTATCTAGTCCAACCCCCTGTTCAGGCAGGAAACCCTATACCATTTCGGACAAATGCTTTCGCCCTCCCAACCCTTCTTTCCTTCTTCCTTCCCTTCCCTTTCTTTCTCCTTCCTTCCTTTTCCTTCTCTTTCTTTTTCCTTCCTCTCCCTCCCTCCCTCCTTCATCTATCCTTTCCTCTCCCTGCTTCCTTATCCTTCCTTCCCTCCTTCCTTCATTTTCCCTCCCTCCTTCCATTTCTCTTCTTCTTCCTCCTCCTTCCCTTCCTTCCTTCCTTTCTTCCCCCTCCCTCCATCCCTCCCTCTCTGAACACTATACTATCCCACCGTTGCATTTCCATCCCCTTGCAGTGTCCTCTGATCATGTGACCCTAATTTATGACATGTTTGTCGACGTAAAACAGCATTTACTTCTGCTTCTTGTCAAAGCCACCCCCTAGCGAACAATGGGGTCACATAACGAGCGAATCGCTCTCCCCCAAAACGCTCGTAAAACCCTGTCGCTCACGTGACAAGCCGCTTTATGACCCTCACCACTTACAACGTCGTAAGTCGAGAGACCACCGGTACTACAGCCCTCCACCCATTAAAAAAAATGTTGCAAGTAGAAAGCTTTGTGGCTCAGCCTAAACCCCCCCTCCCTCCCGTTTGCCAGCCCATATTCTTCAACCATGTTCAATCATTGCCATATTTCAGGCATGCGGTCCGCGGCCTCGTGCATCTGTCTCGGATGTTTTTGACCAATTATCGGAGAACGCTGCCGGCTGTGGCGACCGCAAAGGCACCTTTGCTTCATTCATCACCCACCACGGTGGCCTTTTTCCTCCCTTCTCCCGCCCTGGCAAGGTTTCTGCACTTAATTGCCAGCGATGAAAATCTTGTTATGCACCGGGTTCTCAGCTGAAATGCTTGATCCCTGGACAAGGGCTGGCAATAAAATCAAGGATACAGCCGAAGGCAGGCTCTTAAAAAAATCCGAAATAAACATAAATGCAAATGTGCAGGCTCACTGCAGAGCGGAAGGTCAAAATCCCAGAGAGGTGTTTTTGCTTTTTTTTTCAGAGCAGGTGAAGCAGAATTTGATCGGAGTCCCTCGGATTCTTTGCTTCAAATGTTCGACGTTGCATTTGGAAATTGGGGACAAAAAGCAAGAATGCTTTTTTGGGACAGGCCATTCTTATACCCTCTCAAAACCATAAAATCCGTTTAAACCCCTTGCAAAGAGATTTTTTTTCTTTTTCTACAAAGGTGAAGAATATAACCCTAAAAATTTCATCCCAAACGGCAAGACACGGATTCCAGGCTGCGTCTCCAAGCACAGGATGTTTGCAGAATCGGATTTTAATAATAATAATAATTATTATTATTATTATTATTATGGATCATCGCACAGTCAGCCAGATGTTCAGACTGGATTTGGCATTTTGTCTACCTATCGAGTCCTTACCCAGGACCTGGATAGGCAGATGTGGATGTTTGATGGTATTACAGATATCGTCGCAGGATGGAAGCAGTTCCTAATAAGGCTGCCTTTTGCAATTGACTAATAGCGAATTTGTCAATGCCAATGGTGTTCAAGTGGTGCTCCAGTTGTTTTGGGATTGCACCCAAGGAGCCTATGACTATTGGTACTACCCTTGCTTGCTTTTGCCACAGTCTTTCTATTTCTATTTGTAGGTCTTTGTATTTTGTTATCTTCTCCTATTATTATTATTATAAAGTTGGAAGGGACCTTGGAGGTCATCTAGACCAGCCCCCTGCTCAGGCAGGCAACCCTATACCATTTCGGACAAATGGCTTTCCAGTCTCTTCTTAAAAACCTCCAGTATTGGAGCACCCACAATTTCTGGAGGCAGGTTGTTCCACTGGTTAATTGTTCTAACCGTCAGGAAGTTTCTCCTTAGTTCCAGGTTGCTTCTCTCCTTGATTTAGTTTCCATCCGTTGCTTCTTGTCCTGCCTTCAGGCGCTTTGGAAAATAGCTTGACTAGGAGACTGTGAGTTCTAGTCCTGCCTTAGGCCTGAAAGCCAGCTGGGAGACCTCGACTTAACAACAGTTAATTGTTCGTTCAAAGTCTGTTCAGTGAGGGAATAGAAGGGGAACTCATCAAATTTGCAGATGACACTAAACAAGCAGGAATAGCGAACAGCCCAGAAGACCAACTTAGGATCCAAAATGATCTTGACAAACTTGAACAATGGGTCCTGTGCAACAAAATGAGTTTCAATGTGGAGAAAAGCGAAGATAAGATAAGGTATAAAATGAAATAATCATAAAATAAATAAAATAAAAAAAGGCAGGATACAAATCAAATTACAATAAAATATAAAACAAGATAAGGTATGAAGTGAAACGAAATAATAAAATGAAATAAATAAAATAATAAAATAAGATAAGGTATAAAATGAAATAATCATAAAATAAAGAAAAGAAAAGAAAGAAAATAAAATAAAAATAAAAAATAAAATAAATAAGATAAGGTATAAAATAAGGTATAAAATGAAATAATAATAAAATAAAGAAAATAAAAAGGCGGGATACAAATCAAATTACAATAAAATATCAAATCAAGTAAGATAAGGCATGAAATGAAATAATAAAATGATATAAATAAAATAATAAAATAAAATAAGATAAGGTATAAAATGAAATAATAATAAAATAAGTAAAATAAAAATAAAATAAAAAATAAAATAATAAAATAAGATAAGATCATGTATAAAATGAGATAAGATAAAATGAAATAATAATAAAATAATAAAATAAAATAAAAAAATAAAATAAAATAACAAAAAAAAAGTCGATCCTATCCCTAGCTCACTGTAAGGGCTTCCACAAACCCTCCCTGAAAACACCTAATCCTTTTGCCTAATGCACAGGTCAGCAACCTGCGGCTCCGGAGCCGCATGTGGCTCTTTGAGCCTTCCCCTGTGGCTCCCAGCCTCCTCTGCCTTTGCAGAGAGAGACAGAGAGAGGCAATTGCGCTTCCCTGCTTCTCTCTCTCTCTCTCTCTCTCTCTCTCTCTCTCTGTGTGTGTGTGTAAAAAAGAGAGTGCACTCACAGTGTTCTCCGAGGAGCTGAAAAGCTTACTGGGCGGAGCTCCTCCCTTTGCTGCGTCTCTGCAGGAAGCAGGAAGCAGGAAGGGCAGGAGAGAGCTAGCTAGCCCAGCTAGGCTGACTCAGGAATTCTGGGAGTTGAAGTCCATGAGTCATAAAAGAGACGAGGTTGCCTACTCCTGAGATTGTTGGACAACAGCCTGAAGCTTGTCAGGTGAGCAGCAGATAGGAGGGGGAGGAGAGAGAGAGAGAGAGAAAGAGAGAGAGAGAGAAAGAGAGAGAGA